TTAACTAAAGATGTTATGATGATGGTTAATCCGATGTTTTAAAAGTGTTATATATCCACGATGAATGCAATGAATTTTGATAGAAGAATTTGTGGCATCCTGATTCATTTACATGAATGATTTTTATAACTCTGATTTATTTATATAATTCGCCAGGGTAGAATTGGGGTGTTACATACTTGGCTCAACACCTACAAAGCATAAAAAGGAAACAAATACATCTTTTTGGATTTTAGGTAGAGTTTAGTAAACATAAAACATGTATGTACAAGATATACAATTAGGGTGCTTGGTGGTCCCTCAAGGACAAACTTAAAGAAGGGAGAGTGCACTGGTGAGAGCCAACCCAAAGGTTTGATATTGATGCGTTGTAAGGATATGACATGATGAGGGATCTTAGGGGTAAAAATTAGACTATAACACTGACCCTGTTAAATAGTGTATGAAGATAAGCTAAAGTCCTAGATTCTGAAGGATCAGAATCTGGTGACTCAAAATCGATATCTCTACTTCTTATGACAACTAAGATTCTGATGACCTGGATTTAAGGTACTCAACTTCTGGTTTGTACATTGTGTCTAAAGCAAAACTATCTTGTCAAAGCCATATTTTGGGAGAAAGTCAACTAGAGTTTCTGAAGTGCAAGGCTCAAGGAAAGTTAACATGACCTCTTAAGTATGCTCTAACTCTTTGGTAGATGCCTAGTATGAGAAAGACACAATGAACAAAGTCTTTACACAGAAGACGGAGATCTTTATAAATCAACTTCCAATGTCTCTCTTTCTTGGAACTGCTTCTCAAAAAAGACACACGTGCAAGTCATCTTCCAACGAATCTTTTGTTTCCTTTATATAAGGAGTATAAGATTTGAAGCAAGAACCAACAACTAACAACTGAAAAATCACATTGAACATAACACTAAGCTTTCATATATATTTGTTTTGTGTTGCACATAGTCTTGATATTTCTTATATTTGTATATCTTAGAAATCTCAAGTGTTAAATTATTTGATTGTGTTGTATTCTTTGTGCACCTCTGATTGTATATCAAGTGCATATTATTGTCTATTCTTCTAAATTATTTGTTTAGAACTTTAGTGGAAGTCTCTTGCTAGGTTTCTTGCGCAAAGGAAGTCTCTTGCTAGGTTTCTTGAATAAAAGTTTTTTCTAGGTTGATTGAACAAAGGAAGTCTCGGGCTAGTTTGCTTTAGCAGGTTGTAATCAGTTTTTGATTATATTGAAAATCTTCTATTGGACAAGGGGACGAAACTACTATTAGTTTGTAGAAGGGACCATGGTAACTTTATGTGTGATTTTAATTATTGTTTTTGCACTTTATTTCATTCTGCTATTAACTACTCTTAGTTCAGATTTTGAGCTTGCTCAATTTCTAAAGTTGGTTTTAAGAAGTGAAAAGTATTCACCATACACAATTCAACCCCCCCCCCCCTCCCCCCATTTGTGTATTTTTCTCATCTTCAGTTGGCATCAGAGTATGGTTTGTGTTAAACACTTAACAGTGGCACAGAAAAATATTTTGAAGAGAAAAATATACTAGATGGATGGCTCTCCTAATATCAGTAATGTTACTGGTGGTGGTGGTATACCATGTGATTATAGTGCTCCTGAATAGAATCACTATTCTGCTAGGCCACCTTCATTCAGTGGTGATTATACTTGATTTAAATGGTGGAAAAGCAAGATGTATACTTATATTATTGGTTTTGATGATGAGTTATGGGATATCCTATAAAATGGATTTAACATTGAAGTTAATGGTATTTGAGTGGTTGGTAATAGGAAAACTCACTCATCAGCTCAGAAAAATATTTACATAAAACATCATAGAATTAGAGGCATTATGATATAAGCTCTACCTCATTCTGAGTACATTGAGATCATCGATAAGTCTACTGTTAAGACTATCTTTGAGTTTTTGTGTTATACTTATGAAGGAAATCTTACAGTCAAAGAGGTTATGGTCAACTTTCTTTTAGTTCAGAATGAAGGATGATGAAGATATTAAAACCATGTTTTCTAGGTTTCAAATTCTTATATCAATCCTTCAGGTTCTGAACAAAAGTTACACTACATCTGACCATGTAAAGAAAATCCTGATAAGTCTCCATGTTAGATTCAGACCTAATGTCAAAGCTATTCAGGAGGTTAAAGACCTGGATACTCTGAGTCTTGAAAGTCTGATTAATAACCTTCAAAACCATGGAATGGAACAGAACGGAGATGAGCTTGTGAAGAAATCTAAATCATTGGCTTTGAAGTGAGTGGCTGGGAAATTTGGTGGTAAAGCTCCCAGATCCTCAAGAGTTTGTAAATAAGAATAAGCTTCTGATGAAGAAGTTTCTGATGGTGACTATGATGATGAGGAAATGGCCTTTATCATCAAAAGGTTTCAACAACTGAATAAAAGGAATAATAGATTCTCTGGTAGAATTAGTGACTTCAGAGGCTCTTGTTCTAGAGACAAATGTGATGATCAGAAGAATTGATTTAACTGCAAGAAGCTTGGTCATTTGAAAGCTGATTGTCCTGATCTATGGAAGGACAGACCAAAGAAAGGAAGCTTCAAGAAGGACAACTTCAGAAGTAAATTCAAGAAAATTTTCATGGCAACTTGAGATGAACTTAATAATGAAGACAATTCAGATAAAGATGAAGGATAAGGAAATATAGTAATGATGGCTCTCATATCATATGACAGAGAATCTGAATCTAGCTCTGGTTCAGAATCACCAAATGAAGATGAGATATTTTCTAGCTTATCTCGTTCTGATCTTATTAATATCATTCAAGATCTCATGAGTCATTGTAAATATAAAGCAATACACATGAAAACATTAAAGAGAGATCATGATCTTTTGAAATAGGAATTAAAAATCTCTCAAGATAAATTTGAATCTCAAAGTTCCTGATAAAACATTGAGTGAGCATGAAATGGCTCTTAAAAACTTTATCACAATTGGTATTGAAAGAAAACAACTTGCTTCCATGATCTATGGAGTAAGATCTAAGGGGAAGGTCTAAGTTACAATGGAGAATACGCCAAAGTTCAACTCCTAAAGAAACCCTCAAATCCTTCTTCTTCTTCAAGTAATGCTTAAATAGTGCAGAAACTTTATTTTGTGACAGTTGCCTCTGATAAAGGTAAGAATCTAAACCAATCAAAACCTAAGATAACTGGATCAAAGGTCCTGAACAAATCAGTTCGTGGGGTTTCAAAGTTAAAGATCTTGAAGAAATCAGTACCTAAAATTCAACAGTCAAAGGTTCAGAAGAAACCAGAACTCAAATTTCCCGAGTCAAAGGTTCTAAAGAAAGCAGAACCCAAAACTTATAAACTAAAAGTTCTGAAGGATTCAGAAGGAAAAGTCAAGACTTATCCAAGACAAAACTTTTATAAATAAAAAGTCTGGAATGAGTCTAGACATGTCATCCTGGGGAGAGGGGCTCGAAACTAGTCGTTGTCACGAATAGAGATGCCCGGAATTAGTCGTTGCAACTTGCAGAGACGTGGTTACGAGCAGACGTGGTCTTGTCGTCTTTGGGGCCATGCGACCAATGATGTCAGACAGAGGGGAAACGTGTCTTTCTCTAGCTCAAGCTGATTGGACCAAAGCTTTTGGGTCATTCTGGAGGTGAAGTGGATTGGGCCGTGTTTATTTGTTGGCCAAGTCCAAAACAGGAGCCCCCAAGTCGTTTATTCTGGGCACAAGAGAAATGACTTAGAGTTAGCTCACGCGTCGAGGAGGGAAATATGTCGTTGGTGTTTGTTGTTTGAGACGAGGACTCTTCATGATCTCTCTTAGGACATGCTCGTATTAGAATGTGTGAGTTTTCCATTTATGCTCGACGAGGGGTTTTCGTCGTTCGAGGAGACGGAAAGTTTGTGAAAGTTGAAAGTTGACACGTTGCGTGATGATAGCTACTCTAGAGAACATGTTTAATGATGGCTAAAACGATTGTGTGTTTTCCTAGACGCGTGCATGTGTGCCTGTTTACTCTGAAATTTATAAATAGAGGAGAAGGAAAAATATTTGCAAAACTTCCCAAATTTTCTCCTTCACCTACTCTCAATCTTTGGGCCCATCAGTTCCTCATAATTGTTTTACACCATTTCAAATACTTCTTGAGCTCCAAACCAATTTTATTAAAATACTACTCATTCTCAATTGCTTCCATGTCAAAATGTTTGATGGGAATTCAACATTTATGTTCATGATTGCTAAACAATAAAACTATATTCACACACCTCACAGGTCTTGTGTTTCCCTAAGATCAAAATGCTCTCGATATATCAATGGTTCGTGCAGCTATGTGCAAGCAAGTTAAAGAAAGCACACTTTGATAAGCAATGAATAATGGAAAAAGATGGTCTAGCTAGTGCAAATGAAATTGATTTGCAAATGAGGTTACAACGGTTTTTGTATGACCTTGTTGATTAAACAATTGCCTTAACCAACACAACTAAGTAATTAATTAATTAATTAAGCTACTAAGGACTTAAAAAACATGTTTAAGGATTAACAACTACTAACAAACATGTGTTAGAGAAACATTTAATTAACATGTACCATCATTGAATTTGTCTACGATACACAAATTGACTTTTAACAAATAATAAAAAGGCAATACCACAACTTCTATCATTGTATCACATATATTCTATGAAGCACGTACGATGCCGAATTGTATCCGATACACTTCGATATAGCGTCGATATTATAGAAAGAGTATTCGAAATTATTTATTAAAAAAAATTTTAAAAATCTTAATACGGTGGCAATACGCATCTGATATTAATTTCCACATATCAATACAACAAAATATTCAAAACAATCTTCTAAGAACAACACAACACACAATACAACCAAAAACAGTGAAGCAAACCGTTCTGAAATAGAGAAAAACAAGAGAAAGGGATCAAGCAATCAGAAGCCATCTCATCAGATATAGGGACTATTATTCTACCTGCTCATGCTCAACTAATCTGAAGCAAGAGCTTCCAAAATAGCAGCAATAGCAGATATAGGACTTCCAAAAATAACTGAAAATATTAGCTTAAATACCACAATTGCTATCTTTGTGTACTTGCTTATAGTCCTTGCTCTCCTTGAGATTCTCAAACTTCGATCCATCTCCATGCTCGTGAGTGCAAGTTGAGTATCCCTATCACTACTCGTAGAACTACTTGAACTTGTAGTTGCAATTGATCTTTCTACTTGTGAAAAATAACCCCTCCTCCAATTCTCAACTATCAAATCCTTAAAACATGACACGTGATAACAACTATTTCTGTCATAATAACACCACCCTTTCACTTTTCCCACAACACTCACATGCTTACATTTCACACACTTTGAACGAACTTTCTTAGACAATTCCAATCTCACGCTTCCACTTTCATCACTAATACTATTTTTCAGCTTCAAACAGCAAGGATGAAGATCATATCCTGTCGTAGAACAATGGTAGACAAACCCTAATATATCTTTTCCACAAGCATCACAATATCTTTCTTTATCTCCTGGCGGTTTCTTGTGAAACTCGAAATAGTTTTTCTCAAAAAACTGATGAATTGCGCAAGGTTCTGGATATGCACATTCTCCATGTAGGACATAATCGCAATTATTATAATTAATTTGAATCATTCTGAGTAACCATTTCTTAGAAAATATAGTGAAGAGACTACGTTACTAACTTGTTAAGAAATCTAGATTGTTGCATCATAAAATAATGTGTAGTTCAAATATAAATGGAAATATGGTCGTAATGATGACGATAAATTAGAAATTGGCTTGAAAAGTGACATGCATTCTTCTTTGTCTTGGTGTCTACGGTATCGAGTGCAACTTAATTAATTAAATAGTAAATACGTTACCAATAATTAATTTGAGAAAAATATTGCCTTGCAAAAAAATTTTGAGAAAAATATTTGCATAGAAATCAACATAACACTTAATTTTAAAAACAACCAATCATAATTTTTTTATTTAATTAAAAAATAAAAATAATTTTTTTTCTCTTTTCATTATCACCACAATTCTATGATTCAATTAAAAAAGAAATTAAATTTCAAATAAATTTCAAATTTTTTTCTCTTTTTATAAATTGTTTCTAAAAATATGAATATAGATGTGTTCCTATGTAACTATTTCTCCTAATTTGATGTTATTAGGCTTTTGACTTTCTCCCAAATTTTTGAATTCTTAAAAAATATAGAATACTCCCTTGTCACCAATCTTTGGTATTTCAAGGTTTAGAGACACTTACTTTCAAACAATGAGGTTAGATAAATTTATACTACCTAACTTTTAATTAGTTTAATAAAAGTTATTATATGTAGTAGTTTAAAATATTAATAATAATATGTATTTATATATTGAGTTAAATATATTTTTGGTCTCTATAAATTATCAAATTTTATTTTTGGTCTCTATAAAAAAATCTAACATGTTTTAATCCTTACAAAATTATTATGTACGTAGTTTTAATCTCTTCTGTTAAACTGTTGTGTATTTTTGAATGATAATTTTGCAAACATGTTTAGAATGATATAAAAATTTCTTTAAAAAAAAACTCAAAATTTGATTTCTAAGTCGAAATTTTTATTACTTTTCTCAATATCTTTTGAAATTTAAAAAATTCATATTTAATTCTTCTCATTTTAAAAAATTCTAAAATTTAGTAAATAAATATTTTATAATATTCTAAACACTTATGAAAATAATTATTTAAAAATTTAAAAATTAAAGATAATTAAACAGCTTTCAAAATTTTAGAAAATAACAGAGACTAAAACTATATTAATAAAAAATTAGTATGGCCTAAAATATATCATTTTTTTAATAAGAACTAAAAATAAAATTGAAAGTATTTATAGAAATCAAAAACATATTTAATCCATATATATATATATATATATATATATATATATATATATATATATATATATATATATATATATATATATATATATATATATATATATATATATATATATATATATATATATATATATATATATATATATATATATATATATATATATATATATATATATATATATATATATATATATATATATGTTTGAGTTTTCATAATTTTTTTGGAAAAATTTTAAATATATCTTTTTTATTAGAACATTAAATAAAAACACATGACACGACTTCAAAAATATAAAATAAAATTTTTGACAGTACTTATAATTTTAAATTTGAGTATTTTTTAATACAAATTTTAAAATAAATTTACAAATTGCAAAAGATGGAGAGGAGAATGAAAATAATAATTTCCTTTAATATATTTATTCTTAATTATTGAAATAAATGTTAAATACACTAAAACCAGCAAAATAGTTCTTTGACATGATTTGTAATGTGATAACTTTATCAAGCCCAAAAAAGATAGTTCATAAGGAGAAAGACAAAATTCACTATGAATGGGCGAGTACCATAATGGTACCATAGGATGTCCAAGGGAATGCCAATGAAGTACCAAAGTAGCGCTTAGGCCGCCTAGGGTATACCGTAAGGCGCCTAAATTAGGCATGAGATATCTTACGTAGTTTCACGACTCACCTGCTCACTAAAAGTGGGTAATGACGTGTCGTTGGATGCCAACATGATAGATAAATTAGTCAATGAGGGAAACAATATTCCTCGTGAAAGAAGAAAGGACTCTCATATACCCCATGTTTTGAAGGGAAGAGAGAGATCAACCGCTCCTTAGATCTAAGGACCCGGGCATAAGGTATCTATATAAATATCTCAACATTACGCTTAAGAAAGGATTGAATCATTTCACTCCCAAAAAACACATATACAAAGCTTCTCATAACTCTATGCAAGCCAGCTCTAAACACCATCAATAGTTCTCTAAACACAAGGTTACCTTCATTATTCTTTTCAACAAGTACGACTGGCATCCATCAAAGAGCCTGGTAAAACTATTATGGGTCACACTCATTACCATTCATCAACTACCTTAGTCACCTTCCCTAGCGGGATGGAAAAACGGGGTGTGGATGCCACCATCAACACCATTTTATCGGGATTCATCGGCGGTGGAAAATCTAAATCTTCCTGTCGAAAAAATGTCAGGAAAATTTCAATGTGAGCTTCATACCTGTGAGCCCCAAGGCAGGTTTGGAAAAGAAGTCATAGTTTGAAATTACCTTTTTTTAGTAAATATGTAGTCGGCATCCAACCTCATAACAATGATCTGACATGCCACAAGAATACAACAACATCGAAGTAGTAAAATAAGTATCATCCACAGAGACCAGTTTGTGAGTATCGATTTATATTTATTCGATGCTAATCTAAGGCGATCAATATTTAAGTTTGTTTGCGAGAAAATTAAAATTTTGGTTTTTCAATAAAAAGGAAGAATTTGAGACCTTGATTTTATTCAATGACTTTTCTCTTACTAGTTTCAGATCCAATTGTAATGAGAATCGTGTTTTTGCAACAAAAAAAAATGCTAAAAATTAGTAGTAATGCACACTTTCATTGGTGAATTATCGTGCTCTAAACCCACAATTTACATACTTTCGCAGTGTATCTTATCTATTTAAGCCCTTTTAAAATAAAAGTATTTTCTTAGTTGAATCTGAGACACTTTTGTCATCTCAGAATCACTACTACAAAACACGTAAACAACACTGTCATGGTCACCACGGTTCTTCCTTACACCGTAGTGACATCTCTAAACTAAGACGCTACCATATTATTTTATTTTTTGATTAAAAATAATTTTATATAACAACAGTTTTGGAGCCAACCGTGGTGATACCATCAAGCTTTCATGGGTTCGAACCTCAACGTCCTCATTTATATTATTCCTTTAATGTTAAGGCGCCTTTTCTTTTTTATGTATTTTTAAATAAAAAAATTAAAGGGTTATTGTTGTACCCCAAAATTTTCCCTCCCTTCTCTTCAAGACATTTCTCACAAAAGATCTCAAATGCTCAAGGATTCTCAAAGAGTTGATCAGATAAGCTCACCTCCTAAGCACTGAGACCACAAATTAGGGTTTTTGTTTTCACAAAGAAAATTTGACTTTTTATGCCTCAAATGACTTCCATGTCTCATTATAGGTCACCAAGAATGTCCATGCAAAGTTTCAAGTCTTGCACCTCAAAATTGCTCAGTCAATTGCTCAGATGATTGAAAATCAGTTGTATTGGATAAAAAGTCAATTGCGATCAACATATAGTCAAACTTCAAGATTTTTGGCCAACATCAATATTTTTAAGTCATATTCATCAATTAATCAAGGGTTAATCATAATTCCTCAAGAAAAGCATTCAAATCATCAAAGGGGCAAAATTGTCAAAATTAGGATTTTGACTGAGAATGAATGATCATTGAATTTTGACCTAGTACATGACCTAATGCTTTGAAGCATAATATCAAGGAATAAAACACAACATATTAACCTAATTCATGGCTCAAATCATTTTTTTAGATCAAATGATTGATAGTTGAAATTTGGATCAACTGATGAAAAGTCAACTGATGCACAAAAAGTCAAACTTTGACTTTTTGTTCAACATTGAATTTCAAATATCAAGATTCATTAAGATATTCAAAAATATCAAAATTTATCATCAAGAATCAAGAGAGTCAAGAAAATTCCACAGAAAGTCAAAGTCTCCAATACTTAGAAAATTCTAAGTGTTTTTTACCTTGATAATTTCACTACTTCATGACCATTTTTCACTATGATGCAAGATGATTCATGGAAAACTTTCAACATGAAAGTTGTAGACCTTGACAAATTCTACAACTTTTCCCCTTATGGTTGATGTCCAAAAAATTCTTGGATTTGAAGATATAGGCTCATGAAGTCATGACATTTTTGTATAAACACTTAGTGAAATTTTCAACAAGTTTAGGCATATTTTTATCCTAACTTCTTGGCCAATTTTCATCAAGTTTCAAGTTGATTTATCAAAAGTGGTCAACATGAATGATGTAGACAATGTTTCAAGCTTTCCAAAATGTTTTAGAACTTAAAGAGATCATGCTTGAACTAGAAGTTTCAAAAAGAAGAAGATAGCATCACAAACTTGAATTTTAGGTCATTTTGTGATGAACCTTATGATCCAATCTTCAAGCATGCTGCATAATCTTGCTTTGTTGGCCTTCAAACTTGCAAATCAATCAATAATTAAATGTTTACACAACTGATTGAGCCATTATCCAAGCATTTGAGTCATTGCCCAAGTGATTTTGTCATTAATGGAACAAAGTTCACACTTCCATTTTGGAAAAGTGACTTTAATCACAATGTCAACTCTCCTTGAGCCCATACATTATTCCTTCTGATTCCAAAACATTTCAAAGTAAGAAACAACCATATACAAGTCTGGAAGCCATCCTACAGGCCCTTGTACTATGCATTGAAACCATGATTTTCAAGATTGCTTCAAAACCAAGTCATATAACCATAACATATAATCTTTGATTTCTGATCACTAAAGCCTTTAAAACCTTTCCTCTATAAATAGAGAAGCCATTTGCAAGCCATAACACGAATTGAATAGCCTTGAAACACTCACAAACCCTCTGAACTCAAAACCTCCATTGTTGCACATTCTGACCTTGAACTTCAAACTCACAATCCACTCGTGCGTTTTCATTCT